TTATCGTCCTATGTATGTATTACATCAAGATTAAGCAAAAAGGTTTTATGCTCGAAAAATCTGAACGTAAACTTAAACCCCATAAACTTAAAGTATAAAAAAACTAAACATTTGCAATTCTGATCTTCTGATTTCTAGATTATTTATGGAAGAATAGCTGGCAATCTCTTTTAAAAAACAAAATTGCAAAATCCGTAAATGTTGTGTTGTGAAGCGATATTTATTCATGCAAGAAATAAATTAGTGTACATAGCATAACATTGTATGTAGCACGGGCGATAAAAACCACAAACCCCGAGTCATTAAAACCCTCAGTCTTCAAACTCTCGTAGTAATTTCTTAGTACCTACTATTGAATCTGTCCCTCTGTTCTCAATTGCCTACTTACCACCCTTGGAACATAATGTAGATTCTATACTGTTGTGTCTTTGTAATTTTACTTACTGATTGGCTTCAAGGGCTTCGTGTATACTTGTGGGCCGAATTCGTACAGCACTTGAAAATCGGCATGGTTACCAAATTGGAATCCGAATCCAACGCGATGATCGTTTCCTGTTGCATGAACACAATTATAAATTAAATAAGTAGTTGTACTTACAATGAGCACTACGCCATCTTTATTTTTGGTAATTTTTCCTTATTTTTGTAAACAGCCATATCTATTTACTAATATTACGTTCCCCGAATTTTGTGAAAAAATAAAAAACAAGAAATAAAATTCGAAAAAAAAGGAACAAAAAACAAAATAAAAACTTCTGTTTTTATGAATGAAGGTCCAAAAATTATGGACAGTCATTGGAGGTATCGATACATCGAGTACATAACCAGAAATAGACACGAAATAAGGGTCATCCAACACTAGCAACTCATAAGGTAAATGGGCCCTGTGTCAGTTTTAAATATCAATTTTCGTTTGCGCTGAAATCACAAATTAGAAAACTTAAATAGTACAGCGCCAACAACTGACCTGTGTGTACGTCTCCGTATATTCCAAAAATATTCTGTATTTATTGTAATAAAGATAATATCTCTAACTATGGGGGCTGTTCCATTCGGTGGAGTGGGAAAAACAGCAAAACATCTAATTACAAAACAAATGAAATCACATTTCATCGGTAATTAAATATGTAATTTTTCAATTGTCGTCCATTGTAGCAAAGCTCTAGTTAAACTGGTCGATTTGTAGTGAAACAATTGACGGCACCCGTCAATTGTTGCGATTGTGAGCTAGCGAATCGGAGCGCAGTTGTCACCGTAATGATTTGACAGAATAGTTTTGACATTTCGACTCTATTTCTAGTTATATTCCATGTGTACGTACCACTACATAGCAACACATTGTTGTGGAACGCCACTGCTACGGATTTGTTTTTAGTGCCTAAAGCTACCCAATAGATGGCATTACTTGTATCATGTACATCAACGTACACGAAGGTAACTTCAACCCACTACGTACATTTATTCCTTTCCTGTACGTCTGTTTATGTACGTCTCTATAGGTTTTGGTGGGTAATTAACTAAAATTAAAAAAACTTCTGCTGTCACTTGGTTAACCGGTCAAGTACAATATTTAGTAATGAGTTTCATACGTGGTGTTACTGCTGTACTCTTTAATTTGGTTGCATGTTATTAACTGTCATTTTTTTAAAGGCAAGATTTTGGATTGTTTATCGTAGGAAAGTTGTGATACGTGTTATTAGTTACCAGGCTGATCTGCCACGCTGAGGTCGCGGGTTCGATTCCCGAGGCGGGAGAAATATTTGTATGGCCTACAATTATTTCTTTCATATTCAATTATTTTGGGTGTAATTTGTGGTCGTGTGTCCATCGATGGTTAACGTATTTATTTATTAGCCGCATTAACATTGTGTTGACAACACATTTTTACTTATTTGACTTGGGTGTTCTACATTGTAAACAAAACAATTATAACTATTGACGGCCATTTCAAAACAACAAATTCAAAACAAATTAAAATTTGTAAAATAATTTAACTAGATAGCAACAGAATACACTGAGAAATACCATAAGAACTTAATTAATTATGTAATTAATAGATGCAGGCGTTACTTTGCAGAAGTCCATGTTAATTTCATTCAGTTAATTATCCCACCCTCCCTCCGCATAAAATTAATAAAATAAATAACACAAGCGCAACTATAGTCACAAACCATCACCAAAAGTATACCCGACACGTGTTTCGCCTCTCCACGAGGCATCCTCAGGGGCAGTTGACTGTTCGACGCCGAAGATCGGCTCTTACGCGGAGGGAGGGTGGTATAATTAACGAATGAAAAAATATTCAACACAAACGCAGCTAATTTGCACAATTTAACCTTCCTGGGTTCGCGGAGAAGCAAATTAATTTACTTCCATTTTTATTAATTAATTATTTCTAATTTTTATTATAATATAAAAAAAATTTTTAACGTAGAACTTTTAATGTAATAATAGTATTAAAAATCGTTTTTACTGTAAATTGCGTGACAATTATAGTTAAGACTGGCACGTTCTCTAGAACAGAAGTCATAAAATAATCAATGGCGACTAAGTGGAATAGGCCGACTATTGTGGAGTTGTCGTAAACTACAAACCCTTAATAAACCTCGGTGAGAAGCCATATACAGCTGCCAGACCCGTCGAGACATCTTCTGGTACTATCAGGAGTATACATTCGCAAGAAATACCTGCAACCGGAAAAGGTAGTAAATTGTTGGACTCAGATCTCAGTCAGTCACTGGTTTTACAACTTGTACTCAGACAATCACATTGATTGGGTACTACATTGACTTACAACTATATGGACGTCGGGTCCGCGCTAAAAAGTGTCCGAACTTATAGGGCGTTAAAATCGTATACAGAGCGTCATTCACGCTCTAGTCTTCGTTTGTTCGACTGACAGCGGAGCAAGCAAAATTAGACAGTACTGCGGTGACATTACAATTTAAATTCAACGTTTTAGCTTTTTCATATTCCTTTACATGTCACTACGTTTAAATAGGTTGACTTGGGACATTTTTTTCGTGGTTTTTGTATTAGACCCGTCGTCCATTTATTTGTGAGTTCAGAACTAAACATCAGTTTTTCTGATTGAAAGAAGAAGTTTATCTTCGGATGCGTTCTGAATTTACTTTTTATCTTGCTTTATTTTGTGTGATTAAGTGATTATTGAAATTATTTTAGTCAAATGGACGCACAAATAGACAACCACAAACTACACTCAAACTCACGGGAGAAATAAATGTAGCCATATATAATATTTATCACAGAAACGATCCGGCCACTCGATTATAATAATATATATTTTGTTGATCTAATTGACACTTGAGATTAACCGCCAATTGGTCTGGCCAGACAGGCCGCAGTAGAGAAACTTATGAAAGTGTTCGTCCAGGGAAGTACTGTTACCTTACCTACTTCTACCGCCAAGCAGTATTACTGCGTTCCGGTTTTGAAGGGTGGTGAAACTACACTCACATAGGATTTGTCAATATTGTCTCAGGGTGACGGGCGCAGTGACAGTTCCCCTCAGATCTTCGCAATTTACAGTTCTGAGAGGCACTGCAACTGCTATGGATAGGCGTGTCGCTTACCAACAGGCGCATGACTTTTTCGACCCGTCACTGGGTATCAATAACTTTTTTACAATAAAAAAACGGACACCTTTAGGGGCGGAATGTTTTCGTGAAATTTAAATGGGATCAATACTGAGGTATCCTCTTTTGAACAAAAAAAGAATCAAAAAAATACCAAAGCTAGGAATTATTATTATTATTTAGTTTTTATAAATTATTGAGAAATACTGATTCTATAAAACAATAAAAAAATAATATTTATTTATTTATTTAAATGCAAGTCACAACAATATATTTCCATTAAAAATCTTATTGCTATGACACCCCGCGGGGGTATGGCATTTGGTCCCTATTTTATATAAAACAAAATAATAACTTAAAATTACATGATTAAAATTACATGTCAGTATTTATCATTGGTCTTCGTCAAATACATAAAATATCATAACATTTTAGTTTAATTACAAAATTACATTAATTTGTCATTATAAAATTCATTTAAATTATAATAACGTTTGTCAATTAACAATATTTTTAATTTGTTATTGAAAATTCTATAATTAGTTTCACTTCTAATGTGCTCGGGTAGTTTATTGTGGATTTTTATAGCATTATAGTATGGACTATTCTGATACATGCTAAGCGTACATTGCGGAAGGCTTAATGTATTCTTAAATCTAGAGGGTCTTAGTGAAGTGGGTACGGCATTAATAAATAATTCCCGGTTTTTCCTAATAAATTTAGCAATTTCTAATATGTACATAGAGGGCAGGGTTAGTATTTTTAATTTTTTTAAATGTGGTCTACAAGATTCCGTCTGTTTAATGTTCATTATGAGACGTATACATTTTTTTTGTAAGATTAGGAGGTCATTTACCTGGGTACTGTTCCCCCACAGTATCAAGCCGTAGTTTAACCATGCAAACGCATACGCGTAGTAAGCTGATAATGCTGTTTTTACATTTGTGACACATTTAAGTTTGTATAAAGCGAAGGTGAATTGAGACATTTTCATTTTAATTTTTTCTATATGTGATTTCCAATCAATATGCGAGTCAATTTCTATTCCTAAGAAATTATATTTTGTTACTTTCTCTATATTTTTACCATTTGCACATAGATTTAATCCTAATTCTGATTTTTGTCGTGGTCTAAATTCTATAATTTTCGTCTTATTATAATTTATTTCTAAGTTATGTTTATTAAGCCAGTTCGTTACGTTGTTAAATGTCTGTTCAAAGTTTACCTGGAAGTTTTTGTCGTTTTTGTTATACTTGAAGAGGAGAGAAATGTCGTCTGCAAATAAAGTACATGATGTGTGTATCTGTTTAGGTAAGTCATTTATATATAATATGAATAGAATACATCCCAGTACACTACCCTGGGGAATCGATGAGTTTATATAAATTTTATCTGATCTATATGTAATTGTTTCTCCCGTATTTGTGTTTTGACTCTCGACTTGTACGTACTGTATTCTATTTTCTAAGTAGGAGTATAACCATCTAAAGGCACCACCTCGAACACCACTGTCATAAAGTTTTTTTAGGAGAATGTCATAGCGAACTTTATCATACGCCTTCGTCATATCCAGTAAAATGCCTACTGCGTAATCCTTTTTATTTATATATGTTAATGCCTCTTGTATGTATTTGTATACAGCTAATGTTGTAGATTTGTTTCGTGTAAATGCATGTTGGTTTGGGTGTAGTATATTATATTTTTCATAAAATTCATTTAATCTATTAGACATTGCTTTTTCGAAAATTTTAGAAATTACCGGTAAAAGAGCTATGGGTCGATACATACTAGGGTCAGTTTTGTCCCCTTTTTTATGTATAGGTTTTATAATTGAAATTTTTAATTGGTCTGGGAATGTACCTTCCGTAAACGATTGGTTGATTAGTGTCGTTAGAGGGTAGTATAGTTCGTTTGCGCATTTTTTTATTAATACTGCGGGTATTTCATCAATTCCGTGGCTTTGTTTGTTTTTTAAATTCCTTATAAGTCTAAAAACCTCAGATTCATCAGCTGGTCGTAGGTAAATACTATTTACAATAGATGAGTTGGGATATATATCTTCTGAGTTCGGTGTATGTTTGTATGGGTTTGTGGTTCTATTAATTATTGTATTCTGTCCTATCATAGCGAAAAAATTATTGAATTTATTTGCCACTTTCATAGGGGAATCAATTACTTGGCCATTTATATTTAGGATGATATTCTCATGTCGTTTTTTATTTAAATTCTTTGTGTTACTGTTTATTATTTGCCACATAGTCTTTGTTTTGTTTTCTGATTTTTTCATTAGTTTCATGTTGTTAAATTTCTTTGACAGATTGATTGATATGTTTAATATTTTTTTATATTTTTTATAATATGTTTTTAAACTGGCATTATTTGTGTAGTTTATTAATGTACGTAATATTCTTTTATGTTTACATGAATTTTTTAGACCTTTTGTTAACCAATGAATTCTTTTATTTTGAGCTTTCATTTTTATAGTTTTTAGAGGTATATATGTGCAGAGCAGATTATATAGAATGTTACTAAACATAGTATAGTTTGTATTTATGTCATTTTGTCCCGTGAAGAGCGCGTTCCAGTTAATGTCTTGTAGTTTTTGTTTAAATTTATTAATATTTTGATTGGAGAATATTCGTTTGGTAGTCATGTTTATATTTTGTTCTGTTCTGTTTTACAACAATTCCTTTATGATCCGATAGTCCTAAGTCTTTCACTTCTGTGGTAATGTCTTTAAAATTTACAAAAATTAAATCTATGCATGTATTTGAGTTTCTTGTTGTTCGTGTTGATCCACAAATTTTTTGGTGAAAGTTGTAACTAATCATAGTGTTTTTTAGTTCAATAGAATTTTTTGAGTTTTCAAGCATGTTAATGTTAAAGTCTCCTCCTATTACTGTATTTTGACATTTGTCTTTTTTTAATTGTTCAAGTAAACGTAAAAGAGTTTCATAGAAAAGTTTTGGTTCACGTTCGTTCCAATACAGACATATAATTAAAGTATTTTGGCATTCTATTTCCAATCCACATAACTCGAGAATATATTCCACCGATAAATCTGCTATATCTTTTCTTTCCTTACATTTTAGTTTGTCTTTTGTTAATATACATACACCACCACCTCTATAGTTCTTACGGTTAAAATGCGCTGACAATTTGTATCCGTCACTTATGCAATTATTAATATTCGCGTCGGTGTGCCATGTTTCCGATAAACAACAAATATCAATTTTTTCTTCTTCTAGTACCTGCTCTAATAGCGATATTTTGTTGTTTAAGCTCCTGATATTCTGATATAACAATGCAATGCTATTTACGAAAGGGCTTACTACTTTTATTTGATGTTTGTTGGTGTTGTTGATTGATTCTTTGTTCAGCTGTTCTGGTATGAGAATGTTTCGTGCGGTCACTGCTTGTGATATTCATGTTTTTATTTACTTGTGTATCAGTGTATAATTGTCCATCTATATACAGCTTATTATCTCTTATAACTGCATACTGTTTGTTTTCTCTAGCTGTTTTTAAGAGTTTCATTAGTGTTTGTCTTTCTTGTTGTTGTTCTTTCGTCAGAAATTTAGATATGTATATTCCGGTATTTTTAAACCAAATTAAATTGGATAAGATATATTCAGTCATTCTTTTGCTTATTAGTTCTATTTCTATAGGTCTTTTATAATTATTTCTTCCTAATCATTTTACTTTTTCTATATTCATTTTATTAGTGGGAACCTGTAATTGGCTTTCTATTACTATTTAAATTGTTATTCTGTGTCTGTAGCTGTTGGTTTTCCTATAAATAAATAAATAAATAAATAAATAAATAAATATATCCATTTAAGTCAATATCAAGTGTGTCATAAAATAAGTTATTCAATTGTTCTATTAAGTTTTGTTCTGTTTCATTTTCATATTCGTTAAGTCCATAAAGTACTATTTTTTTGCAATATTTCTCTTCGTTAATTTTATTATATAATTCTTCGATTTTATTTTGTAGGTTTAGGTTTTCATTTTCAACATGTGGGTTTGCTTGTGGTTTTGTTATATTTTTATCATCACATATGTTAGGTTTCTGATGTAGATTTTTAATTTGGAATTCAATGTCACACTCTGTTTATAGCTTCGTAATATAAATTGTATACTCACATCTCAAAATAACAATGGCGAGGCAAACCCAAAACTCCTTAACTTCCATTTAAAAAACTAAAAAGTTCTAGAAAATATAGACAATAAATTAAACACTATTAATCTAGACGAAGGGAGAGATAGGAATGTGCAATACCTAGGTATAGACAATTGAGATAAAAACGTACACACGGCAATGTCGAATTTTCTTCCCACGGTTACAATAAATCTTGACGTATAGGTATCAACAAAACTTCTACGCTATATTTCCTCTCACATTATATTATAATACTATATTATATTTTATCAGATCATCTGAAATGGCGATGGGCTGGGATGGGCCCGAAGCTTGAATTTTACAAAGTAGTTCAATATCCACTTACTCTATACTATTAGTAGACACTGGTCTTCATTATGAAGGGAATATGTAGCTATTTGTGACTGCGTTTGGATAATTCTTTTTCTTCATATTTAAAATTTTTTTTAACTAACCACAACATCACTTTCTGGAATTAAAAGTAACTCACGGGTATGTGACGTTCGTCTAGAAGATGCCTTACCTATTACTAGACAGGATGAATGATTTGGAATGCTGCTACATGAACAAAAGGCTCAAATTTGCATTAATTAAGAAATGCTCACTGCCTTACATTGATTTGATCTAACAGAGAATTAAAACTAAAAACTTGTACAAGTGAACGCCTAGTGTCCATCGCCGAGCTACCAAGAATCGAAGTTTGTTAAATCACTTCTGTTGGCAACTGTACAAAATGGCCCTGAAAATATCGCGTAACAATTGACTTGCGACAATGCCTTTGTATTGTCGGAAAACTGATGTATCGATTAGACAATATGGGAGACCTATGCTTAGCAGTAGGGTATACATAGATAGAGGTCTCCTCCACATTTTATTTATTTTATGTATTATTATACTATTATAATAATTTGTATGTATGTGTAAACCAAAGGGAATGAAACTATTAGGGTGTGGCCAGACGAGCGTAATTTTGTGAGTTGTGAATTGCGCTTTTTGAGTTGCGCAGTTTGCGCTCAACCAATTTTTATTCAATTGCTTTTAAGCATTTATACGGAGTGTTTGTGTCGTAATAGTGTAATGGATCCATTAAAAATAGTATGCATTTATGAAGCATTAGAAGACGATGTTAGAAAAAGAAGCTGGGTACATCCACTCAATATGAAACTTATATATTATATATAATAATATTATATAATAATAATAACGTACACACTCAACCTAGCCCCGCACTAGGGAAACCCTGTGTCGCGGGTGCCATGGACACACACGTAGACAACTACAAATTACATCCAAACTCATGAGAGAAATAAATGTAGGCCATACAAATATTTCTCCCGACCCGGGAATCGAACCTGGGACCTCTGCATGGCAGTAACAGGCATGGTAACCGTTCGGCCACTGAGGCAGTTATATTAATTGTAATATTAATTATATTCAACATTAATATGTAATCAGTCTGTACAAAAAATCATTTTTCTTTGCCTTACAAAATTAAGTAAATTGATTATTTGTTGTGCATTTGGTGACACTATGTTAACGTTAGAAATAATCAACGAGCTGCGACCTATATTTAATATTTAAAGTTGACGAGTGGTAAGTTGTGGTGTGGAAGTACCAACTGCTCGGCTTTGTTTATCAATAGCTGATTTCGTTTTGCTTCATACCGGGGACCGTCCTAAGCGGGAGAAAGAATCGCGAACTCAATATGCACGACTGGTAACTTTACAATTCAGAACCAAGTGCTCTAATAATAATTCTATTTAAGCTGCTTGTTAATAATACGAGGGATGTGCGATGTTGAATAACACGTCAATATAGTCCATCACAGTGTTTCTAACAGTAACGATCAAACTAGCGATGCATCAGCAATTGATAGATTAAACAAAATGATAAAATATTAGAATCCCCACATTTTCCTCACATAGCGCCAATCCCCACAAAATCGCCAATCTAATTGAAACTCCCCACAATTTGGGGAATTCCCTACGAATTGGCAACGCTGGATACAATACTCGTAATTCGCGCTCGGGCCGGTCATGGCATTTGTTTGTTGACAAATAAATAAACATTGTGAAGTAATTCCGTGTTGTGAAATGATATAAACAATTGAAATGAGCGCGCAAACTACTGTACTTGTTGTGTATGTGTACGTGTATTGTGCCGTCTATCAATAGAATACAGTGAAATCATTGTGTGAAATGTGGTTGGCGTGAAAAAATAACCTCAATTTTGTAATGAAACTTTTATTTCTTCCAACATAATTTAGGGATGTCATTAAAATATTCCTTCCACCTTTCTAGTCATATTATAACACATTCCATATAATTATACAGAATAAGGTTTTTTTGCGACAAATTGGATTTTTTCAATTGTTTTTTCGACCTAGTGTTTTGAAAAGTTTTTTATTGCATAATACGCTCACGCGTTTTGTAGACAATCATAAAAACTTCACAGGAGGAATATTCTTCTACAAGATCAACTACACTTAAGCAAGTAAAAATAATCTTTTCGTGTTCTAAAGTTTTTCTATAGATAAAGCTATAGACAAAATGCTCCCAACAGTGTTTTGAAAAAAAGCTTTAAATTCTTATCGCCATTTTTATTTTTAAAGAATGATTATGAAGTAGCCGAGAAAAATTTATTTTTTATTTTATTTACATAAATATTTAAAATTTAGCGAGCGACTATCAATTATTTAAAAACTGTCTACAAGATTAAATAAAAACTGTCTACATTCTACAAATGGTCTTGTAGCATTCTAGAAGGGTTACTTGAGAAAAAAGATAAGAATCACTCTTAACACTACCTACAGATAGTTTCTCAAAGCACTCTTGTGATTTACTAATAAAGTTGTGCCCACTTTTACTTTAAATTATCTAGAAACCTTCTTCGAGATATCTTGAGGGAATTTGAACCCTTAAAATATTCAATCGAATAAAATTCTATTAGATATCTTATAGTATATACTTAGATATGGGTGTGCTGCTTGGGCCCCCAGGACGCGACGCGACGCTGCGACTCTACGCCAGTATGAGTTGAACCTCATACTTGACATTACCTTTTGATTTAGTCAAGTATTACTTATTTGATAGCAATTATTTCACACGGATGTCGGACAGGGAACAGGAGTAGATCCCTAGGAATGAAACCCACAACTTCTTCCGTATCAATAGAGGTCCTCGAAATGAAACATCCAAAGTCTGTTTTATCCAATATATTTTCCATAATTAATGTTCGACTTGCCAAATTGAACTGCACAATCGAATTCCGCCAAAATAAGGTACAAATTTGTAGCAAGAATCAAAATGGCGGCCTAACATTTCTACTTAAAATGGCATTTTTTAATTAAATCCTGGCGATAATTATCGTGCAGTATTATATTTTACAGTGCCGAATTTAGAATCATTACTATTCATAAGAAAACTTAACACTCTCGTATATCAGAGGCGAAGGATTCATAGAACACTACTTAAGTTATAAAAAGTCACTGCAAATAAAAAATCTCAAAAATCTTTGAGTGCATGCGTTTCTAAATTCTTTTACAATTCCTTCGTTTTGTTCTGATATAGCTTTTTACACTGGACTATAAACTAATTGTGCTGCCATCTATTATTTCGTCGGCTTACTTTCTCAAACTCGTATTTTGCAAGCTCATTTTTTACATCACATTTCCTACATATACACTCACTGGTTTTAAACCTATTCTTAAAGTAAAGCATCCCAATTGACACCCTTGATAAGAGATTTAAAATAAAATAAATTTTAAAACAAATATCCAAATTGTTATTTAAAACAAATACGCTTCCACATTTATATGGCGAGCGGTTAGGGGGTGGAATTCCCTGAATGCGCCTTTTCAAGGCTAGAGTGAATAGGCATTATTTAGGTGTGCATGATGCATGGTCGACTTCATCATTACTTTCCATCAGGTGAGATGGAGGTGAAATGCGCACTTATATTTAATTCAAAAAAATGGAAGTTTTGCCATCTCCTGAGTAAAAACTTTTTATAACATACGAGTTTGAGAAAGTAAGGCACCGATTTGTTACTACCCAAATATTGACTCAACCATAACGCAAACTACAAAAAAGCAGTTGCTCTTCCACACAAAATGTACATTTTACATACCTGTACCATCTATGGAACAATCTAAAGGTACTACAGTAAAGAAAGGACCCAATCTACCAAAGTATGAAACAACAATTTTTCTTTTTAATATACAACCCAATCAAAGTTAACTTGAAAATCAATACAAGCGCAGCTATTTTGCACTATTTAACCTTCACTAGGTTCGCCGAGAAGCAAATTATTTTACTTCCTTAGCGCCTGAATAACCGCTCTCAGATCTTTGAGATTTAACGTTCTAAGTACTCATTGAGTTCGCCCCGTCTCCCGATATCCAGTATCATAAAAAAAGAATCTTGTAATTATTTTTATATGCCTATGATTTATGTCTTTTCATACATAAATCATAGGCCAGATGGCGCTATTCTTAATTTTTTAAACAGTTTTGAAATTCGCGCATTACAGTTTAGGCGATTAACAAACTGCACCGCGCCCCGCGACGGCTGTGTTTTTTAACGTTGTACTGAAGTACCTCAGTTTGTATGGAAAACACGCGCCGTCGAACACACTGACGACGCTTCTCCGGTTTTACCGGAGGGGTGCGGCGAGCCGCAGGGTATGGCACACTGCGCTCCGCACTACCGCGCAGATTTTTAATCAATTTGTGTCTATTCCAGTAATTGTCGTTCGGATGTTCCCTAACATACAATCAAAGGATTCAGTTGACATTCGTGTGTACTTGAAAAATTTATCTTCACATTTTCTTAAATCTTTGTAATGAAGTTTGTTATCTTCGGTGTCTTTTTATTAGAGTAAACAAAAACAATCGACAGTATAACTGCAGCGTCCTGAATGAGTTCCGTATTATAAACCATTCTTGTCAAAGAAGGATCTCAGCTACATGTGCGATCACTACGGCGATCAACTACGAAGCGAGTACTTTGAGTGGCGCGGGATCGCTAGACCGCTGCCCCCACGCAGATTAAACCGCGCGTTGACGCAGATCTGCGTCTCCGCTACCGCGCGCGTGATTACGCG